GCTTGATATTAGTTTTGATTTTTTTGAGACAGTTCACTGTGTAACCCAGTCTGGCTTTTTTTTTTTTTTTCCCTCCCTTTTTTCTTTTAACACACACACACACACACACACACACACACACACACACACACACACACACACACACACACACACACAGACTATTTGCCTGTATGTATATATGTGTATTATGTGCATATGGGATTCCCTGGAACTAGAGATACAGACGGTTTTGTGAACTGCCATGTGGGTGTTGAAACTCAACCCAAATCCTCTGCAAGAGCATCAATTTCTCTTAATTACTGAGCTGTTTCTCCAGCTCTCTCAGTCTGTTTTTAAATATGTGTGTGTCTCTGTCTCAGCCTTCTGAGTATTGCAAGCAGGAATCAACTTGACTAACAAATATGTTACCCAAGGTTCATAAACTTTTCCTTTTTTTCCTAATACTAGGTGATACTGGGGATTGAACCCAAGACCTCATGCATGCTAGGCACACATTTTACCACTGAATTTACCACGTTTCTATAAGGGTTTAGTGTAGTGGCGGTGTTCTGAAACTTATCCTATTTAGATACTAAAGGACATCTGTATTTCATTCCCTTCCCTGCCCTGCCAACTTCTTCCCTTTCTTGGTACTGGATATGGAATCCAGTGCCTTGATGGTGTTAAACGTATGCTCTGCTACTGAAGGCATCTGCCTCTTATAGCTGGAATTTAGGCTACTTTGTTGGGAAGACTATATTTTGTTTTGGGTATTGCTATAAGCCCCATGATTTACCTCACTGTTTAGCAAATTTGGGTCAAACACCAAATGGGCTTTCTGCTTATTTTTGATGGTCTGTAAACTTGTAATAGATTTTAGTTTTTAAGATGATTGAAATAAAATCAAAAGGAACCTAATATTTCATGATACTAGAAAATTATATGAAATTCAAATTTCAGGGTATAAAATGTAACTTGTTTGGGATACAGCCATGCTCACTCATTTGTGTATTTTTCCTGGCTGCTTTTGTACCTCAGTGGTAGAGTTGAGTAGCTGAAGCATTGTGTGGTCCACAAGTCTGAATCATTTAATATATTTGACCTTTTACAGGAAAAAAATGCCTGGCAATAGGTATCCAATAAATATTTGTTGAATGAATGAATCCTAACATATACTACCACCAAAGAATTTAAATGGGAAAACCTTCAGTCATTTAGCTCTTGGTCGTTGAGCTTTATTGGTGATAAATGTTAAATATGTCCCCAGATGTGTATGTGTGTTGATTGTTTTTTTGTCAGTTACTCAGTTTTGTTGGCCACCCTTCAACCTGTAGATACTATGGACCAATAAGTTAGTAATTCTTGGGACAGTGTTGGCTAAGATAGGCATACTTTATTTTTCCTTTTATGTTTTTGTTCATCCCCCAACCCCCTCCCTTGTGATTGGTTCTCACTATGTAGCTCAGGCTAATCTGGAGCTGCATTTTTCTTGTTTTAATTTGAACAAAGCAATGATGGAAAATGCACCTCCCCTTTTTTTTTCTTTACTTTTTTCTTTTTTCTGTCTTGGGGATCAAATCCAGGGTCTTCTACACACTAGGTAAGTTCTATGAAACTGAGCTACATTTATACACCCTATTACTCTTACCTAGAAGATTCATGAAAGTTTGTTTTAAGGCTATTTCCCACTTGTTCCTTTAATGTGAATAAAGCTACTTGTCAATGGAAGCAGTAATTAAAATAATTCCAACAGAATACTTAAGTATGGGTAAAAGTTATATATTCTCCCATGTTTCATTCATCTTATTGTTGAAGGAAAGAAATACCTTGATAGAGGGAGCCATTATGGGATTATCGAGAAACCTGGCCCTAGAGAAATTCTCTGGAATATATAAGGATAACCCCAGATAAAACTCTAAGCAGTAGTGGATATGGTGCCTGAACTGGCCTTTCCCTATAATCAGATTGAGGACTACCATATAGAGCCTTGAGCCAGTAACCAATGGAAGTTGATGTAGAGATCCACAACTAACCACTGGGCTGAGCTCCCAGAGTCTAGTCTAAAAGAGAGGGGAGTGATAATATGAGCAAACGTATCAAGACTATGATGGGAGAGACCCATAGAAACAGCTCACCTGAGCCAGTAGGAGCTCACAGACTCCAGACTAATGGCTGGAGAACCTGCATAGGACCAAACTAGAGCCCCTGGAATGCAGGTGGCAGTGGATGGTTTGGGCATTTGTGGAGCCACTGTCAGTGGGACTGGGATCTGTCCGTAGTTCATGAACTGGCTTTTTGGAGCCCATTTCTGTTATGAGCATGTTTTTCTGCCAGCCTGGTCCCACAGCCACACCAGCCCCAAATAACACACAGAGACTTAATTAGTTATAATGTTATTGGCCTGTTAATAACATTTCTTATTGGCCAGCTCTGTCTTAAATATTAACCCACTTCTGTTAATTCAGGTGGTCTTATTTTACGGAGAGAGGATCCAGAGTTTTACCCTGTTGGTCCTACATGTTGAAACTCCCTCCTACCTCTCCCCGAATCCTCCATGTCTCCTAGTCCCGCCTATCTTGCTTTCCTATTGGCCAACAGTGTTTTATTTATTAACCAATATAAGAAACATATTTACAGAATGCCATCTCCCATCACATTTTGATGGAGAGATACCTTGCTCAGCCTTGACACAGTTAGGAGGGCCTTGGTTATGCTTCAATGTGGCAATGGGACAGACTTTGTTGACTCCCCTTAACTCTCTCTGAGGATCTAATGGAGGTGTGGGTGGGGGAAGGTGCGGGTGTAGGAGGAGGGGAGAGGAGGGAATTGGAACTGGTATGTAAAATAAAATATAGGATGTGCTTATTGAATTTGCACTTGAGCCAGTGTGAACATTAATGCATTAGTGATTTATCAGTAGACATCTGACTTACTCAAAGGAATATTGGAGCTTGGAGAGAGAAAATAATTTTATATAAAATGATTGTATATTATGCTAGTTTGGTTTTCATGAGCAAGAGATGCTTATAGAGGTTCCATAATCCCCCAAGCTACAAGTAAACCTTGTAGCTGTGAAAACTGTCCTTACTTTATGCTTTTTATCAAACGACGCTAAGCGGGTAATGCAGCTTGTGATTTCTAGTGAAAAAGTAAAGCATGCAACTCTTTGCCTTGGCTGGATGCTCAGATTTTACTGTAGGAAAAGCTTCCATGTTATGGTAGTAGAGTAGATCCTGGATCAACACTTCTTCCATTTTTTCCTTTCAAAGGAATACTACTATTTGAAGACTTGGTTCCCCTCGCCCCCTGCAAGAATTAGTGTCTACATGGGGGAGGCCCCTAGGCCCTGCCCCAAATGATATGACAGACTTTGATGGTCCCTCATGGGAGGCCTCACCCTCCCTGGGGAGATGATGGGGGATGGGATGGGCAGTTGGTGGGGAGCATGGGAGGACAGGAGGGAGAGGGAACAGAGATTGGTGCATAAAATAAGATTGTTTTTTAATTTAAATAAAAAGAATTAGTATTTAGCTGGCTTAAGGGGCTGATAGTTTACAATAACAATTATTCTATTTTACCTAGTTATAATTAACTGCTGTTTAGTCATTTTACAAATATTTACCACATATGAATGAAACATTGCTTTCAACTGTGGGCTACAACATGTAAAAAGACAAAGGGGCTTATGTCCTGTGGGATAAATTGATAACAGAAATTAAGATGTAAGCTGAGTGTGGTGATGCACACTGGCTTAGTTAGGTTTGTCTTAGTCAGGGTTACTGTTGCTGGGATGAAACAACATGACCAAAGCAACTTGGGGAAGAAGGGGTTTATTTGGCTAACTGTTCATTACTGAAGGAGGTCAGGACAGGAACTCAAACATGAGAGGGACCTGGAGGCAGGAGGTGATTCAGAGGCCAGGGAAGGGTTCTTACCAGCTTGGTCTTTATGGCTTTGTTATCGTGCTTTCTCCCAGGACCAGCTGCCTCAGGAATGGCACCACCCACAAAGGGCTGAGTCCTCCCCCATTAATTATTAGTGAAGAAAATGCCTACAACCCTGTTTATGGAGGCATTTTCTCAATTGAGGCACCCTCCTTTCCAATGGCTGGAGTTAATAGTTGTGAACCAGTGTGTTGGGTCTAGGCATCTAACCTAGGTATTTTGGAAGAGCAACAAGTGCTCTTAACCACTGAGCCACCACTCCAGATTACCTATACTTATTTTCATTATGGCAGTATTTTAACATTTTTCTCACCCTTTAGAGACAGGGTTTCATGTAGCTCAAGATACATGCCCTTAGAGAACCCATTATTTTGTACAGGTAACTCATGCTAAAAAGATCATGTTTTCTTCTCCCTCCTCTCCCTCCCTCCTTCTCTCCCTCTCTCTGTCCCTTTAAAAGAGATGTTACTTGATTCTTTCTAGTACAGTTGCTCTTTCTTTTCCTTGTCTAATTGTCTTGGTATGGTTGTTCTGCACGTTGTTGATAAGAAGTATCTAGAATGGATATTCCTGTTGTGTTTTGACTTTAGGGAAAATTATTCAGTCTTTTCCCTTTGGACTTTTTGTAGGTTAACTTTATTATGGTAAGGATTTTTTTTTTTTTTCTAGGTTTCTAGTTACTTTGGTTTTTTGTTTTGGATTTCATGAAAGGGTGTTGTAGTTTGTCCAATGCCTTTACCCTATGTCTCTTGACAAGATTATTTTATTAGCATGGGGGTATTTTGATTGATGTTTTTCAGATATTAAACTAGCCTTGCTTTCCTGAGATCCCTTTTGTTCATGATATGAATCCTTGTTATATTCTATTGGATTTGTTTTGCTTTATTTTCTTCAATGATTTTAATGTTAGTATCTACAAACTAATTAGTATCTACAAACTGGTCTTTTTTTTTTGTCTTTTGTCATCAGAGAAGTATGATAATGCATGAGTCTTAGGAAGTGTTCTATTCTAGTTTTTAGATGGTTTATGAAGGATTGACTTTTTTTTTAAAGACTAATAGTATTTTTGTTTTTTAGGACTCTCCCTTTACAAATGCAGGAATGGGATCTAATCTGAATCTCTTAGGAGAAATTGAGTGTGATGCCAGCATAATGGATGGAAAATCTTTAAATTTTGGAGCAGTTGGAGCACTGAGTGGTATGTAGACATTATGATATAGTCCTATATGTTTTATTTTTAAAATATCTATTATGTATACAGTGTTCTGCCTGCATGTATACCTGCATACCAGAAAAGGGCACCAGATCTTGTTATAGATGGTTGTGAGCCACCACATGGTTGCTGTGACTTGAACTCAGGCCCTTTGGAAGAGCAGCTAGTGCACTTAACCTCTAAGCCATATCTCTAGCCCATTTGAAGAACTGAAGCTGTTACCATTTCATACCTTCTGAAAACTTATTCCCATATATTTAATCATTTTTGTTTGGAGGCATGCTGAAACAGTTATTATTCCTCCTTTACTAAATTAAGAACATATAATCTTACATATAAATAGTTTTAAAGAACACCTCCAATGCTAGAGATGTAGCTTTCTTGGTAGATCACTTGCTGGCTATGAACAAAAAAGCAAACATGAGAAAACTAAACAGAGCATTCTATTCCAAGTTGATTAGAAGTACATTACTCTTTTCTAGTCCTTAAAGAGATTATGGACATTTAACACTTATTTCAGAATAGTCTATTAACTTTGCAATTTGAAATATATTAACATTAATACATTTCAGGTGATATAAGTAAGCTTTACTTTCAATTCGTAAATCTCTCCTTTCCATTCCCCTTCCCCCCCCCCTCCAGGTTATTAACCATGAAAAATATGGGTTATTTATATAGCTGATAAGTATTCTGTAAATACGGCTATTTCTAAAAAGTGAACTAAACATGGAGTTTCTTTGATGCCTATCATCTTCTCTGAAGTAGATTGGTACTTCCAGCAGCAGCCATGTCTCATTATCATAAAAAGCTTTATATTATGAAAACATCTTAAATGCCAGATTCTGTAGATCTCTGAAGTGTTTGAAGACCACCCATCTGTCTAAAATATATCTGTTTGACCTTGAAAACACACCTAACATGACTGCCTGCATTTCTTTATTATTCTAAATGGTTTGTAATAGTAACTTCCAAGGACTAGATATTAATATTACATTGTTAAATGAGCTATATTGGTACAATACCTTAAAAAGGTAGAAACATATACAGTATGTTCTAACAAAAAATAACCTTTAATTTTTATCAATATACAAAACTATCTTAAAGAGTAGAAATGTATGTACATTATAACACAAATAACCTTAAATTTGCATCAACATACAAAAATCTATACCAATGTAAAATATTTAAGACTTATAGTTGTTCTTTTAGTTTAAAAGTAGATTCAGTAATCTACTCTTATCCTATCCCCCTCTTTCTTTTTAGAATGAGATCCCTTAATCTGATTTCATTTTTCAGTTTTTTCCTGACCATTTCCAGTACCAACTTGTAACCAACTCCCCTCAATGATGACATATATCCATAACCCTCTGAATGACCAAAAACCACCCACCCCATGTCTTAGGAATGTGTGTTTTCTGTTCTCTATATTGCTTTCTGCTGTCTGTGCTGTGGGGTGACTGCTTCTTTAGGGGACCCTGAGAAAAATGAGATAATGGTCAAGGCCTGGGAGAGCATGTGTATCATTTGCTGCCAGTCTCTGTGTAATGGGAAAGTGTAGGTTTTATCTGAAGTCCTGGATGGAGTAGTGCATGAGGCTGGACCTTCACATCTAGCTTCTTTGAAATTGCCCTGAGCAGTTTGTAGTCCAAAGCTGATCTTTGTGTGGTCTTTGTCATTCTAGTGTTGTTACCACAATCTAGGTGGGATTATTGTGAGACCCCATCATCTTTTTGAATACTCCTAAAGTCACTGTTAGGGATATGGGCATGGTTCACTGCAGAAAACTAAAACATTTTAAATGTCATATGCAGTAGATCTCGGAGAGAGCAAAGGACACTAATTTGTTAAGTAAGTGCATTTGGAGTACACAAACTTAATTTTTAGTCACGTGATTCATACTGAAGCCCAAAATCAGGTATAGGAAGCTAGATTAAACCTTTTTCTAGAATTGGTACTCTATATGACCATTAATATCATAACAGAAAGTTTAAAATACATATATGTATATGGTTGTATATTAATTTTCTAATTTTGAGATAATATACCTTATGAAAAGTTTCCAAAATTCAAAATAATACCAAAAGAATATGAGATTAGTGGCAATAGAACAGTGTCTTAATTTTGGATTTTCTGTCCCATACCAAGTGGCTCTTCTGACATGAGACAGAGATTTTGGGTTTCCTTTAACAAGCATGCTTGGGTTTAGAGAAGGAGAGAGCCACATTCCAACTACAAAGCCAGCTTTAATTTTTAATTGAACTGTGGCTACAAAAAGACCATTTGCCTTATATGTCTATAAAAACAGCACAGCAGAAAAAAACATGTTGGAAAATATGTGAAATTTTTCTTGTTGAAAACGTGGTATACTGTTAGGTCAATTTACTCCTTTTCTTGGGACATTTTTCTCTGGATGATTCATCCTTTTTCTTCAGATGTCTCATTTGTTCAGTGGTCTTCGGATTCATTAGTTGGATACTTTCATTCTCATGGAAAGAAAAAAATAAAACCCCATCCAACCCTAAGTTTGCAGAATTTCCATTTGGCAGGTTAAATCTGATCAAATGAAAGGCATTTGTTTATCTTATACATTAGTTTGGATTGAATGTTCACACAGTTTGATACATTATTGCCTGTTCTAATCAAGAGGTCTCTTGTTAAAATCTGATCTTCATCAATTTTGATAATTTCATAGCTTTTCTTCTCTGGAAAAAAAAAAGCAAAACCTCTTCCCCAATATTACACATATTCTGGTTTCCATTTTGAGGTCAACAACATCCTTAAAGTATACAGACTGATTCAATTAATCAGTTTCATGGTCTTTCTGCAGCTGTTAGTCTTTTGTCATAGTATTTAAAAATTTTAAAATTAGTAAAGCATTGTGCAATCTATCTCTTCGGGTCTTTATTACTTCTTTTGTTTACTAAGCATATCTTTTAGAGTGTGATTAGATCTTCTGTCACTGCTTGACCTATAGGATTATGTGGTGTGCTTGTAATATTATGCTGTAGTATATATAAAGACAAAACAAAACAAACAAAAACCTGTTTCATTTTATTAGAGACATATGTGGAGCATTGTCAGTTTTATTTTGTACAGGTATTCCCATGATGGCCATAACTTCTAATAAATGTTAATTACAGAATCATTCTTCAAAACTCAAAGCAGTTGCCCATTGAAATACTGAATATGCATCTGAAGTATGATGCACATATTTTAATTTTCCAAACTCTGCAAAATGAAACAGGCTTGGTAGACCTGTGTGGGATCTTATATGTGTTATATACAAGGGATGATTTCTATTTCTGATTATTTTAATTGAATAACAAATTTAATTCTGAATCAACTGGAAAAAAGTCCAGCAGTTTCAATATGTAAAACAACTCTTTTTTGCATATTGAAAGTATTCTGACTTTTGAACAGAATCATAAGAGCTTTGAGCTACCTTACTTAAATTTCCTGACTTATAACCTGCTTTTCCTGATTTGTTTATTTAAGTATAGGAAGGAGGGGTTATGGGTGTTCCCCATACAGTGTGAGAGAAGATCCAATTAGTTCTCTTCATAAACTGAAGTCTCTTGCTTTGGGGATCTTTGATGTTAATCTCTTTCAAAAATTACTGTAAGCTCTTTGCCAATGTTCACTTTCTACCCATAATGAAGAAATTTCATGATTAGTAAAAGGTATACAATTTCTGCTAGGTTTATTCCTGCTAGTTGACAAATTCTTAACTTTTCTTTCAGAATCAATTCAGAAACCTTTGCTATATAGGTCTTTAATTTTTTACTCTGTGCATTAAATATATCCATTCTAAGATATTATCTTATCTCTGCATTAGGATTCCAGTAGGAGAATACATAGAAGGTAAAATAACCAGAATACAATGAGGCTCTGGATGCAAGTGATCCATATGTGCACCTTGTAATTTCTTTTCTACAAAGCCAATTCTTTCTCAGCCTCAGTTGATAATTTTCTTGGACTATTTAAGTCTTTATTACCTTGTAAAGTTTGAAGTAAGTTGTTTAGTTTTTCAGTTGTCAATCCAGTTGTGGGCCATGGCCAGTTAATATCTCCCAGCAATTTTTAAAAATCGTTAATTATTTGTAATTGATCTCTCGTGATTTGTACTCGTGTTGAGTTTTTTGTAAACCTATCTTATATTCTAGGTAATTAGTAGAATCTCCTCTTTGTGTTTTTTCGGGAGCAATTTGTAATTCCCAACAAGACAAATTTTTCTTTACTTCAAACATTTTCTCTAAGGTATCTGCATCTGAATCAGCTAGTAAGATATCATCCATATAATGGTAAAATTATGGATTGAGGAAACTGATTATGAATTACTTCCAATGGCTGTTGTACAAAATGTTGACAGCTGTTTTACATTCTTTTGGAGGAATTCTCCATTGATATCTCTTAACAGGCTGGGAATTATTATAAGTAGGCAACGTGAAGGCAAATTTTTCTCTATCCTATTCTTGCAAAGGTATAGTAAAAAAGCAGCCTTTTAAAACAATCAGTATAATAGGCAATCCTTTTGATAATAGAGAAAGTAAGGGAATTCCAGGCTGTAATGAGCCCATTGGCAGAATCACCTTTTAATAGCTCTTAGATCTGTTTTCAGTCTTCCATTTTCCAGATTCCCTTTTAATGACAAATGTAGTAGAATTCCAAGGACTGTTCTATTCTTTTGGTGATATTTTGTTTGTGCTGTAACAAATAAAAGCCTGCTTGAAGATCAGAGTGGGGAGATAGCCTACAATCCCTTTTACTACAACTAAGATATCTAATCTTTTTATTTTTCTTGACATTTTTAGAAGTCATTTTTATCTAAGTATCATCATAAGCATGAGATCCAGTTCTAATTCATTCATCTATGGGTGCTGATCTTTATTTTAAAGGCCTGATTACTCTTTTATAGTCTGAATTAGCATTTTCAAAAGGCAAAGATTCAATTAACATTTGTCTAACTTCTGAATCTGATAACATTT